ATGATGATCCCTGTTCATTTTCTTTACGCAGTCTTAGTCTAGATCTCTTGCCACAAACCGACCCACTTAATCCTCTCAGTTTTTCCGTGGCCCGTGGAAAGTGGGAGAGTCCACATCTCTCGCCAATATACCTCCGTCATCATAAGCTTGGCCTCATTGCAGTGACAGGCACACACAAACACATAAAAATGGTCTGAGAGGAAGAGAGGACCAGGGAGTGAGTGGATTGGTGCGGAGTTAGTGCAACACCTCACCGATTGAAAGGTAAGACCAATTGAGTTGCATCTCCACTGTACCAACTCAGTCTAACTCACCACCATCACTGCCACCTTGTTACATGTATGATTTAGCCCAAACCCGAAAAAATCGCTGGGAGCACCTCTCACCTCCCCATGGCCCAGTTTAGCATCCTCTCGCCAGGGTGCAAGTGCGCGTTTGATTTCGCCCAGCCAAAGACATCTAGCGCCAGTAGACTTATCCCCTTTTTTGTGGTATGTATGTGTGTGTGAAAGAAGCTGCCCATTCCTCGAAACTCCCTCTCCTCCCCTTCTGTTCGTCTCTACGGCACATATGTCGACGTGTTGCAGGATTAAGAGGGAGGACGAGGAGGCGGATTTTCGCACCGAAGTGCGATGTGCGTGCGCGCGAACTTCTGTGTAAATTAAGAATGATGTTCGCCTGCTCACTCACCACTGGCGAGATGGAGGGGAGAATGCGCGCATCTCCCTCCTTTTCCGCCACCCCAACCCTGAGCAGGTGAAGATTTGTACTCGCCCACCCTCCCACAGGTTTGCGTGCGTCTCTTGGTTAGGTGTTGTCGTCTTCGCATTCGTCGTGTTCTCCACTTTCTTTATCACACATCCCCTAACAAGTGTGTTGGTGTGTTGGAGTTTGTGTGTATTCCCATCCACCTGGGACAGACGATAAATCCTGTGTGTTTCTGTGTGTGTGGTGGTGGTGGTGGCTGCGGTTGAGTTCGCGTGCAAAGCCGAGACTGACGCCAGTGGAGTGAGAGCAAAGTCACCGCTTGAGACGGACGCCGCTGCCGACGCCACTATGTTTGTTGTACACCAGGAACACGGAATTTCCGGTGACTTGTTAAAACTAACGTCGTCGTCGTCGTCGTAGTCGTCGTCTTTTTATATACGTGTGTATATTCAAATTCAAAGTCTTTTCAGCCAGCAGTTGTGCAGTCTGATTAAACCTCTATTCAAATAGGAAAATGGACAGTAAACGAACAAGGTAAATCGAGATTGAGTCTTGCAACCAGCGACTGCGTATTTTCTCAACTTTTCCTGCAAAACAACGGGACAGACAGAGGGAGCAGGACAGCAGTGGAGAAAAGAAGCATCATGAAAGCGCGACCTTAACCCAGTCACACCTCAACAACGTGTTTACTACAGTGAACATCTTTTTGAGTGACACCTCAGAGTACACTAATCTGATCCCAAATGACTACCAAAGTCAAGTCTTAGAAAGAAGGAACAAACAACCCCCAAAAATAGATCACTTGGGAGAATCACTCATGGCGTGGTGAGGGAGGCAAAAAAGAAG